TCGTACCCACCACTGCACCCTGTATTCACTGGTTAACTGGACATCATTAACTTCCCTCAGACTCTCTCACTGGTACATTTTCATCTTTAAATCACTTCTTTGTCTGCTGCCTTCATACATCTCCTCCTACATGTCTCTGCATGAGTGCAGCTACGGAGTGCGCTCTCAGGACATTATTACCTGCAAAGTTCCCTCAATGAGGACTGAACTAGGCAAAAGGGCCTTCTCTTACTCTGCTCCTGTTTCCTGGAATATCTTACAAAAAGATTTGAAGCTCTCGACCTTGACCTCTCTAAGTGGCTTTAAGAATCTGTTGGACTCCTGGCAGGGACCAATGCAGACATGTTCCTGTTTTTAGTTTTCTACATTCGCCTTAGAATCTAGCTGGGTTTTTTTTTGTTACCTTTTCCTTTTAGCCATCCTATTTGTAAAAACAAACAAACAAAAAAAAAACTGCAGTATGACTTTTTATAATTGTTTATTGGTGTTGCTGTTGTCCATTGTTGTCATCTTTCTTTGTTGAAATCAGGTCTCTCTTGTAAATGAGTCCTCGAGGCTCAATGGGATTTACCTGTCTAAATAAAGGTTGATTGATTGATCACTACTGATTTTTCACCCATAGATTGTTTCAGTCAATAGATCAGTGTCCCCACTTCTCTTGTTGTTGGGAATTGAAGCCAACACGAGATACCATTGTATTTATTTGGAATGTGTTGGAATGTGTGTACCACCTGGTAGAGATAATGTTGAACCATGAGTGAGAAATGCATACATGGTTTTTGACCTCTTAAATCAAGAACATCAATAGTAAATAACAAAAAATGGCATCTCTTGAGGCCATGCATCATTGATCCATCTGTCCATCTAATGAGTCATGGGGTTCATTGTTGCACATGTGTTGTTTACCAGCATTTGAAGCGCTTTGATCATGTTTCAGAGTGGGAAGTTTTGAATTTGCCTGGTGAGAAAACAGAGGCTGCTCTGCAGGTGTTAGATAGCTGAAACCTGAGGTAATTTGATAATGGCTCAATAATCTGTCCCAGCATGAAGAGAAGACCATTAATGTACACAAACTAGGCTATGATCATTTGTGTAGGGTACAAAGAGAAAAATACTTAGTTGTTTACTGCTGTATTAGCACCAAGTAAACAAACTAAAGGCATGAATATTGCAAAAGGGGATTTAAACATCATGGAACAATACATTAGGCGTATGTAGCTCACTCACAGCAATCATCTTCTTCTAGAAAATTTTAAGCCAAGCTCCAAGGTTGAAAAATGTGTCTACCTTCAAAACTGGTTCCACAGGAGGAACCAGACGCACTGCCGCTCCGCACTACCTGTAAATCACAAATGAGCCCACAGGTTACAAGCAAACACATCTGCTTATTTGTTATGCTCTCTACAAAATGCTCTACAGCTTGGTTATTTTGGACCTACAGGAGAAACCAATGGGGAGAAGATAGTCAGAATCTCTTCTGCTAATTCTGAAAAAAAAAAAAAAATTCTGGCTACAAACATCATTGAATTTAGATTAATATTATAGATCAGCTAAAGCCTTTTTATATATTTTTAAATTTTATTTAATCAGGCAAATCCCACTGAAATCAGATTTTTTTTCTAATGCAAGCCTGGACCTGAAGGCAGCCTAAACATGCATGTTTTGGACTGTGGGAGGAAACTGGAGAACATGCAAACTCAGCACAAAATTCAAGTCAATTCAATTCAAAGACCATTTATATAGCACATTTAAAAACGACCACAGTTGACCAAAGTGCTTCACAAGAATACAGCATTGTAGATAAAATATGATAAACAAAATAAAATTGTTTAAAAATAAAAGTGATACAATTTGCAGTAAAATACCAATAAAACAATAGTACTAATAAAACCCAAAACGGTTATTGCATATTTGCTGCAATTTCCCCAAAACTCGAGTCAATCAAATATTAATTTGAGTGAAGGCCAGGGAGATGTGTTTTCAGTCTGGACTTTAAACTGATCTACTGACTGAGAGAGCTTAACAAACAGAGAGGCTGTTCCGCAGTCTGGGTGCTGCCACAGAGAAGACTCCGTCACCTCTGGTCTTCAACCTAGCTTTAGGGATAACCAACAAAAGCTGGTCAGCTGACTTCAGGGTTCTGGATGGAGTGTAGGACTGCAGCAGCTTGCTTAGGTAAGATGGGCCTATGGAGTTTAAACACTTGATCAATAAAACTTTGAATTTCACCCGAAAAGCAACATGGAGCCAGTGAAGGGAGTGTAAAATGGGGGTAATAGATTCACGCCTCCTTGTTTGTCAACAGACGGGCTGCAGCGTTTTGGACGCTCTGCAATCGCTGCAGGAAGCTCTGGTCCAACCCTAAATGCAAAGAATTACAATAGTCCAAACACGATTTAATAAATGTGTGGATAGCCATCTCTAGATCACGCCGAGGAAGATGAGTTTTTTTCTTTGCAAGGGTCCTCAGCTGGAAGAAGCTGGCTTTGATAACAGCACTAATATGCTTATCAAGTTTAAACAGAGGATCAACGATCACACCCAGGTTTTCTACAAGCGGACGACAGACGGAAGACAAAGGACCAACCACACTGTCATGCCCAAGCAGGGGGTTGCATTGACCGAACACCAGAATCTGTTTTTTCCTTATTCATGTAATTTGTTCTTAGCCATGCCTGTACATCCCTAAGACAATCCTGTAACACATGTACAGCAGACTGGCAGTCATTTGTAGTTACAGGTAGATATATCTGTATGTCATCTGCAAAGCAATGAAAAGAGACTTTGTGCTTTTTAAAGATAAAACCCAGAGGCAGCAAGTATAAGGCAAAAAGAACAGGTGATAATATCGACCCCTGGGGCACCCCATATTTCAGAGGCGACACAGAGGAGGAATACTGACCTAGATTTACAGAAAAACTCGTATTTGAGAGATGGGATTGAAACCAGTTTAAAGCTGTACCATGAAAAGACACCAGATCCAAACTGGGTCTTGAACCCAGGACCACCTTGCTGTGAGGCAACCATGTTAACCACTAATCCATAGTGCTGCCTATTTTGAAGAACAAAAACTGAACTCTGGGGCATTTTAATAAGAAAAAAATACTTAAAAATAGTTAATGAAAAATAAAGATACCGACTTCACTTCACTTCACTTTATTAGGTTTGCGAAGGGCAATTCATTTACAGTAAGTAGTGGTGGTGATGACGGCCAGCACATTCATACAAACTTTAAACATGACAAAATTAATAAAAACAGGAAAAAAATATACATTCATAACAAGATTAAAATACTTAAAAACATTACTAAAAAGAAGTGTGAGAGAGAGAAAAAAAAAAAGAGTTGGACTGTGATAATTCAATTGCAAGCCTAGGATAAGGCCTTAAATCTATATTTTGTTTAAAAAAACAATGACTGTGGGAATGAAAGAGTTCTTTAATCTGTTTGTTCTACACCTAGGTAGGCCATATCTTCTGACTGAAGGCAGAAGATTGAACTGAGTGTGTAGAGGATGAGTGGAATCCACCATTTTTTTTTTTTAATTTTTTTTTGGCTTTAGATACTGATCTGGACTTAAACAGGTCCATGATATCATTCAGTTGAATCCCTATAATTTTTCCGCATTCTTTGATAATGCCCTGTAAGCGATTACGTTTTTTTTAAAGTTCAACAAACCAAACCAGCAGAGAAACAAAAAAGTGAGGACAGATTCAATAAAACAGCTGTAAAACATAAAAATGCAATCAACATTTAAGCTCCTCAACTTCCGGAGGAAATGCATCCTCTGGTGGGCTTTCCAACAGATTCCTTCAGCCTGGGACTCAGATGTCAATTTTTCTGTTTTTACAGTTAAGAAAATGTGTTTTAATTGTGGAACTATTGCACAGACAAAATGAGGTGGTCTTTTAAAATGTAGTTTTACTTGTGAGTTAAATGACTCGCTCTATTAAAAAAAAGCTTTATGTCCTTTTTAATTTGCCTTAACTGCCAAATGCGTGTGCTAAATGTTTTTTTTTTTTACAAATGTGATTTTGGCATTATTGATCTTAATGCAATATCAGTGTTATGTTAAACCCACATTTTTCTTAATCCCCTCTTTCTGTAAAGGAAAGCAAGCAGTAATGCAGTTGCAGGTCACAAGCTCCTCAAAAGTGCAGGAGTCGGAGAAAATTGCAGCCTTGAAACAGAATATAGGGTTTAGGCACTAGCGTCCTGTTCTTTTGATGGATGAGAGCAGCTTCACTCTGAGCTCATGTGAAAGATGTGAAATGGTCTGGAGAAGCCGTGGTGAACGTTATGCTGCCTGCAACAGTATTTGGCATGATCGGTTTGGTGGTGTGTCAGTGTTGGTCTGGAGAGGCATATCCATGGAGGGATGCACAGACCTTTACAGGATAGATGATGGCTATTGATATGACTGTCATTAGGGGTCAGAATATGTCTTTAGACCCATTGTTAGACCTTTCACTGGTGCAGGGTCCTGGGTTCCTCCTAGTACATAATGCCTGGCCTCACATGGCAATACACAGACAGTTCCTGGAGGATGACGGAATCAACACCACTGACTGGTCCCCATGCTCACCTGACCTAAATCCAATAGAACACCACTGGGACATCATGTTTAGTCCGTCTGATGCTGCCAGGTTGCACCTAGGAGCTTATTTATGCCCTGGTCAGGATCTGGGAGGAGATACCCCAGGACACCATCCGTCATCTTACAAGGAGCCTGCCCTGACATTGTCAGATATGCATGCAAGCACGAGGGGACCATACAAACCACCGAGAACCATTTTTAGTCGCTGTACAATAATGACATTTCAGAAAATTGTCTTGTCTTTAAGAATGTTGATGTGTCCTGATTCCAGTCCAGTTAAGAACAAGTGTTCTAGACTGTATGATGCACTTTATACACGTTTAATGAAGTTATAGACCTTTTTTAAAGTGCAGTCTATGCTTTAGCTAACTTGTTATTAACCTAACTTATCTATCTTCTTTCCAGATGTCTCACAAATATATGAAGTACTTCAAACTGACTTTGCTAGCTGGACTATTGTTTGTAGTCACCTTTTGTTTTTGGAGCCCTTCATCCAGCGTTGGAGTTAATATCCACCGGAGACAAGGCAGGCTAGGACAGAAACTCTTCAATAAGAAAATTGAAAACCTCACCTTTGGTTATCCTGATATTGAATACCACATAAAGGATGATGTGGCAAGGTTTGTGTGTGTTTATCAACATAACTTTTGTTTGAGAAATTCCCCTTTTCATTTTTGTGCTGTTTCTCTGCAACTCTTCACTTTGTTTCTCTCTCTACACAGAAGTCTGGCTCAGAATTCGTGCGTATGTCTGCCTGGGGAAGAAACCTTTCATATACCGTTCTCCAATCTGCTCTTTCCACGTGTCTGGGCTCACAACCTCCAGCATGCATTCTTAGAAAACCATCCTGATCCAGAAATTGTAAAGCGCCATAGGGCTCAGGAGTACGACAACTTTCAGAGAAGGTGATGATCTTATCCCGTGTATTAGACAAGCACAGTCTTGTGTTTAAAAGAATAACAAATCTTATAATTGGCACTGACAAGAATGACTGAAGAAATTGTTTTACAATTGGCTTAGTCATTCTTAATCTTGCAGAATATGCATTTGTTACCTAGTTTTCCAAGTTTAAACGATCTTGCAAAATTTTTCAAGGCAAACTTTTTGATGGTGTTTTATGCCTTTAATGTCTGAAGTTTTTTCTTCAAGTTCAAGTTAACTTTGCTGTTGTTTCCACCACATGTGGTACATTAGATGGAATGAAACTATGTACACAGGGTCCCAGTTACACCCCAAAATAGCAAAATATAAATAAATAAAACTGTTAAATAAGGATCTAAGATATACACTAAAATATCTAAAATATCGCACGGAGTGCGCTCTCAGAACATTATTACATGCAGTGTTCCCTCAATGAGGACTGAACTAGGCAAAAGGGCCTTCTCCTATTCCGCTCCTGTTTCCTGGAACATCTTACAAAAAGATTTGAAGCTCTCGACCTTGACCTCTCTAAGTGTCTTTAAGAATCTGTTGGACACCTGGCAGGGTCCAATGCTGACATGTTCCTGTTTTTAGTTTTCTACATTTGTCTTGGAATCTAGCTGTTTTTTGTTTTGTTACCTTTTCCTTTTAGCCATCCTATTTGTTAAAAAAAAAAAAAAAAAACTGTAGTATGCTTTTTTATAACTATTTTGTTGTTGCTGTTGTCCATTGTTGTCATCTTTCTTTGTTGAAATCAGGTCTCTCTTGTAAATGAGTCCTCGAGGCTCAATGGGATTTACCTGTATAAATAAAGGTTGATTGAAAATATACGCTAAACAAACACCAAACGGTACGCTAAAAGATCTAAGATATATGCTAAACACTAATAAACAATATGGCATAACAACAGCAGCCCGAACATGAGTCCCCGGTGAGCAGATAGGCATGAATAAATACAGCAGCATGAGATAATCAGCGGTATGAGATCAGCAGCACGGACAATCAGCAGCACAGACAAGTCGCATATCACCAACCAAAGTATTAAAGCATTAATTGAAAGAGACATTTTTTTATATGTAACAAGGAAATCTTGTGATAAACTACGCTGATATTAGCTCAGCAGTCAAAGCTGAGCTGATAGTTAAACAAAATGCCCCAAACAGGTAGCAATGGAATGAATTAATTCATAATAATGTGCTTTTAGTATCCAAACATATATTGATGTTGTAAAGGTATATGTTTTTAAATCTTCCACCAATTCACGTGAGTGTGGTTTATTAATGTTGCTGAGACTGTAACTAGAAACATTTATTGAGCTGTAGATAAATTTGCAACTGTGTCTTAAGTAATTGTTTTGATTAGTAAAGAAATAACGCAAAAATAAACAAATATTTTTACAGCCTTAAATGCAAAATAACTGCTGTGCCTATTAATACTGCCCAATGTTCTGCAAAATCTGTTCCCAAATCATTGTGCACAAGTGAAAACAGAAGTTGCGTCAGAAGTACTGATAAACATCTTGTCAGTAATTAAATGGCTAGTCAACCTGGCTTTATTACTTTGTAGCAGGAAAATTACAAAACTATGATTACTCTGGCTACTTTAAATACATTTACTTCATTTTTCCTAACTTAAATTACCCAAGGATCAGTACGCCTTTAAGTCCAAGTAAAACAGAGAATATTGTCAAACCTTACAAATATTTATTTTGTTTCATTTTAGACACCGTGTAATTATGTAATTTGGTCATATCTAGGTTACATTAGACATTTTAAATTAAGTCTCACAGTAGAGTTATTTAAAAAATGTATATGTTTCAAATTACATCCAATCTGTCAGTCAGCATGTTTCAAATCCTCTCTATAAAATGAGAATTTGGTTCATTTTACAAGAAAAATCAGTTCAGTCATGTCTTATTGTGCTATGTTTGTGTAAAGGGTCTACAGTCCAGCAGACATGCTAAATATTGCTGAGGCCAACAGCCCTCTTCAGTATCCCACCCAGGGTGTAGAGGTGCAGCCCCTTAAAACAATCCTCATTCCAGGTAATAACACAGCCACATTGCACCATATCAGAAATATATAACTTTAATTGATTTATATTTCCAATGTTTTCACAGGTCTGGGACTCAAACAGAAAGAAAAATCCAATTACAGGGTATTTTGAAGTTTATGTAAAAAGCTGTAACCACATTTTATTTCTTGTCCCAAGTTTTTAGATGGCTTTTCTTCTCCTGTACCAGGTGCATTTGACAGCAACGCTAGGGACCTTTAATGTTGCTGCTACTGTGGACATGGTCTCCGTTGTAGGAGCGGGGAAGAAGCAAATGATGCTGTCAAGTCCTCTTCTGTCTTCTCTGAACAGGCAGCTGCAGTTTGTCACCTACACAAATGCCGTGTTTCATCCGAAGACCGCAGATTCAAGTAAAGTTGTCATTTTGGCAGTGATGGAGAAAGTACTCAAACACTGTACTTAAGTAAAAGTACAAATACACATAAAAAATGTACTCTAGTAAAAGTAGAAGTACCAAATTAACATTTTTACTTGAGTAAAAGTAAATAAGTACTTGCTTTTAAAAATACTTAAAGTATTAAAAGTAAAAGTACTTGTTGAGTGTATTACCTAATGCAATGGTCTACAATATCAACTGTATGTATATTTTCTGTAATACATTAATAGTGTTGTGTCATTTTAATGAACAATGCTGCAGATAATACATGTTTTTATTGTGTTTACTCTGTGACACAGTTCACACTTGGACTTGCGATTCTGTGCGTCAGAATTTCAAGGATGACATGCAGAGTTAAATGCCATTAAGCAAAATAAGAAAGAGGAATGATTATAACTTTAAAGTTTTTATTTAACATAAAGCAAAACTAATGCACCATTTTAACAGCAGTAACCATATTTAAGTAAAAGATGTCTGCCTGAACAAAAGGAGCATTAGACCTAACAAAGAACATGCTCTGATCATTACAACTCCAGTTTGTCATCAACTCAACTTTGTAATGGGTCAATAGTGAACAATATTTTAACTTCCTGACACCATTTTCAAATCTTGGACCCGAGTGTCGAGCCATTTTGGAGACATCTCTTGTCTCTTGTACTAACATCATGAACTGACACATTTTAATATTACAGCAAGAATTTCTTGTTCAAGTTCAGAAGAAGTTGGTTTTCAAAGTTTTTTAAGTCCAGTCTGGATCTTTGGGAGAGAGAATCTGTCTTGTTGTCCTGAATAATCTTTCAATAGTCATGGATGGCACGTACTGTATCTTGTAGCTGACTTTCCTCGGTGGAATCCATTTTGGGTGTGTTAGCGGTGCTGCGGGTGCGCCCAGCTCAGTGACATATATACTAGAATATAGCTCTTCTTGAAGGTGGGTCTAACGTTACCTGCCCACTTTGCAGTGATTCAATGGACCAACTCCCCTCTCGCCATTGGTTACTTTCAAATTGATGAACAAATAAAAAAGTTGCAACGTGAATGTAACTTGTAACACAACACATTATAGAAATGTAGGGTAGTAGAAAGTACAGATCCTTAATGTGAAATGCAGTGGAGTAAAAGTAAAAAGTACCCATGTTTAACTCTACTTAAGTAAAGTACAGATACATGAAAAGTGTACTTAAGTACAGTAACAAAGTACTTGTACTTCGTTACATCCCACCACTGCATTTTGGTACTTTGCTGACACTAGAAAAGTCATGTGGACCTTTTTAGACAAATAAACAAGATCCAAAGTGAAGTATAGCTTTATGACTGGTAAATATTTCTGTAATGTATAGCAAACAGGTTAAATAATGCATTTATCTCAGTGTCCCTGACTCATGTTTTAGTGTTTTAAAAAACTGAAGAGCATTCAAACTTGATTTAAGCCATTTTTAATAATAACTAGAACATCTGCTCACTTCATATAAATGATTGAAACTTAGATTTATATCATTTGTCTGCTTCATTTGACAGTTCAGTTTGCAACTGAAGGTCACCAGTCATTTTTCACCATCAAAGTTGGTCACAGGATTGTTCCCAAGCTTTACAACTCTGGACACAGTGAAGGTTTGACAACAATTACTGACATTAACAGTTTAATTTGTTGCAGGATGTTATATTGGAGTCTTTGTTTGTTTCTACTCAGAATACAACATTACTTCTTTAGTTACCATTGCCACAAAGACGTTTTTACGCTACGACAAGCTTCAAGATCTCATTGACAGCATACGGCAGTATTATCCCAACGTTACCATAGTGATAGCCGATGATAATGAGCACCCCCAGCCAGTGACCGGTCCTCACATTGAACACTACATCATGCCATTTGGAAAGGTAAATATGATTAAAGGATCTTGTGTCATATTTTGTGCTGTGATACCCAACACAAAAAAGGAAAGGTAAATATGATTAAGTATCTTGTGTCGTGTTTTGTGTTGCGATACCCAACTAATGCTGATATTTATTTTCCCAGGGCTGGTTTGCTGGAAGAAACCTGGCAGTGTCTCAGGTGACCACCAAGTATGTGCTCTGGGTGGATGACGATTTTATCTTTAGTGCAAACACCAAACTGGAAAAAATGGTGGATATCCTGGAGAAGACCACACTGGATTTGGTGAGATGCATGTCAACTGCAATTACGTATAGTGTATACATTTTTTTCTGAAACCTTCAGACTAATATTCACTTAAACTTTGGCAAAAAAGAGCCCCTGATGGCAATAATAATTTCTAAATCATCCCAGCTATCCTAAATAAAAACTTGAGAGTTGTGTATCTGCACACCTGTGTTGAACACAACAATGAGACTGTCTGTTTAGTGCAGATATGTACAACTTAAGGCCTGAGGGCCAAAAGTGGCCCTTGGGCAATCTCCATCAGGCCCTCAATGGCCTTAGTTAAAAAAGACTTCTTTTTTTTTAAATAGATTGATTAAATAAACAATTTATCAACAAGACAAGGACATCTAAATTAAACATCTTATTAAAAAACTTTTTTTTTTTTAACGTCATTGTGTTTCCAGAACTGTACTGAACTTTACAGACTTAGAAACACAAATGCATACGTTTGATTTGCATATTTCCATTAACATGTACATGTTAAGCTAATGTGTATATGTCACAAGATCCAGTTTGCAGAATATGTCATATTTTCCAAAAAGATATTTGAATGACACGTTTTAAAAAGCATGCTAACTGCTACGACGAGAAAAAGCCTGAAAAAGCTCTTCTAGGTTATCTGCCATAACGACTATTTTCCAATTCTCCATTCGGCCCTTTGATTGCTTTAAATTTCTTGAATTGAATGTTCAAATGACCCTTTGAAAAAAAATAATGTTGCCCACCTTTGATTTAGTGGGATATTTTTGGAAAAATAATTTCTCCTTTTCTTAGTTTGCCTCACTCCATTTCAACATTCTGGTTCTTCTAACTTGTGCAGGTAAATGTTTTTCTTGTCTTGACCTTAGGTTGGTGGTGCAGTGAGGGAGGTGACCGGCTACACCGCCACGTATCGCCACACCATTTCAGTGGAGGAAGGTGGACCGGATGGAGACTGTTTGCATTTCAGAAATGGGTTCCACCATGTTATTGAAGGATATCCCTCATGTGTGGTAGCAGATGCTGTCATCAACTTCTTCATGGCTCGGACGGACAAAGTGCGACAAGTTGGCTTTGACCCTCGCCTGTCACGAGCAGCTCACCTGGGTTAGTCCTTATTATTGTGTTGGTTTTTATGTACTTCTTGATCCTGAATAAAACTCAATTATTTTGCTGCTGTTGCAGAGTTTTTTGTCGACGCTCTGGGTTCCCTCCACATCGGCTCCTGTAGTGATGTCATCATAAACCACGCATCAAAAATCATCCTGCCCTGGAGTAAAACAAAAACGCAGAAGACCTATGAAAAGTTCCGATACACATCTGTCGGTGTGGATAAAAATCTTTCTAATGAAATTTATTATTTCAAGAACAGGTTCAAGTGCATGACCAGTCAATAAAAAACAAGGCCTTAGTTGGTTTATTGTGAAGAACAACTGGTAACTGCTGCCGTTCTCAGGGGAAAAAGGACTATATTTAATATTTTTTTTGTTTCTTGGGCAGTGAGTTACCTCCAAAACAGTCAAACAACTTTTACTGTAAATATTTTCTGTTACTAACAAGGTACTGACTAATCCAGTTTGAATTCTGTTTATTCCTAAATGTTGACCCATTCCCTTCCAGAGAACCTTATTCCTATTGCCTTGTTTCCACTGAAAATAATTTCTATAGTCTGCTTTTCTTATAGTTGTTCAAAGGCCAACTGGTTTACAGCTTAACTAAATTATATTTTTTATCCATGTCGTTTTTGTATATTGTTTAGTTTTATAATGTACATGAAAATAAGAATATGGAAAATATTTAATGTGAACTAGTCTTGTAAAAAGAGAATTGACATGCATTATTACAATATGGTTACATTATTACATGGTTTGACACTTGTACTTGATCATATTTTAGTGCATTGCAGAGTCACAGGCAGTAAAATCTTTCTGTGCATGCGTTTGGTTTCAACTGATTTCATATAGAAAAATTAAAACGTCTTGCGCTGACTTTTGCTGTGATATTGAAATCGTTTTTTTGGTTTGTTTGTTTTTATGCCCATGACACTTTATTTTGACAAAATGTGGTGAAACAGCAATATAACCGTTTCACCACAGGATGGAAACAAAATGTCAGATTAAAAAAAGCTGCACATTAAATAAAAAAATAAAGCGTTCCAACTCTTCTTTGACCTCTTCCTGTTTCTTTATTGAACAAATTGTGATATCAGCCTTTATCTAGTGTATGGAATTCCACCCTTACTGTTTGTTGGTTTTATTATTTTACTTTTCTTTCTTTTGCTGTTTTTTTTTTATTATTATTCTGATGGGAAGACAGCAACACAGGACAAAAATACATTTGTTTCCAGCACATTTCAGAAAATGCAAGTACATGGTAGCCATGACTGTTTTCTTTATTGCCTACAACAACTCAGGTTTATGTCTTTAAAAGGCTAGCTTTCAAAGGAGAGATTACAGAATTTTATTTTTTACATGCCCCTGCACATGTTTGTTAGCAGACCTGACTGTGTATTCTGGCATTGTAAACATTTGGCCAGATACTCGTGCACCATGTTCTAATTGAAGTGGACTACTTCCTGCCAATTAGTGAAATACTCCTCGAGCTTTAAAGGAAAAACCCAAAGGGTACATTATCTAGAGGCCTCCTTTTGATATATGTGCAGGAGAAAAAGTTATTACTTGGCTATTCAACATGAAGCAAGGACATAATTAGGTCTTTCTTCCTTTTCTTTAGCATGATGTTGAACTCGCAGCACATGCAGTTTCCAGGTCAAGGTATTATTGAGATGAAGAGCAGGGAAACCGTTTCCACTGTTTGACAGAAGAGGGCAGCATGACTGTGAGGCAAGAGTCACTTTTAATCAACTAAATATCTTCACTTGATCTACTTTCTTAGAGTTTAAAAACCATGTTGGGGCTATTTTCATTACAGATTCTTTTGTTTAGCTCACATTTACACGACAAATTGCTCAAGTTCTAACTTTGCATTCTTTATCATTCATCAGCAGAAACAAAAACCTACAGTATCTGTTAACACAAAGGCTTCTCTTCATCCCTCTTCAAATATGAAGGAAAGTGTCGTGCTTCACATTCCACAGAGAATAACCACACCCACACAGCGTATACAGTAAATCCTAAATAACAGTAACAATATTAACCCATCAAAATCTAAAATACCATTTTAATATTTACTGATTGTAGTTTGCTTTTTTTTCCCAAAAAACAAAATCAAAGACTATCCAGGTTCATTTTTTAAAGAAATACTTTATTTCTAAAAGCCACTGGATGGCACCGCTGCTGTACAAAAATCATGTATTCAGTCTTTAGTTCAGTTCCTTTGGGTTAAAACACTGAATAAAAAAAATTAAAGATGAAAATCAATATTTTGCACATGCATGTTCAACTTTGAACAGATATAAATACAAAAGTGATTTAACTAACTGCTCAGTGCACTTCCTTTGATAATTATACCCAGCAAAAAGCAGAAACTTAATAAATATGTCACACTGAATATGACTTTAAAATAACAGCTGGATGAGAACAAATAACAATACGAGTTAATAGTTCTACATGTTTGATTTTTTTATACTGCATGACAAGATGTGTTGTGAAGTTACGCTGTTAATTACAAGATGTTGTAATAAATTGTGCTACAACAGGCTACTGTGTCTTTAAAACACTGATGGAGGTTGTCTCAGTCCAAACATGCTCGGCCTGTTCCTGCTCCAGACACCTGGCTGAGGTGATGACTCATCACCATCCTCCTGCTTCATAACCAAACTGTTGTTGTGTGCTCTGGAGGCTTTTCCTGTGACAAACGGCAGTCATATAATTACTTATTTTTAAATGATGTGGAGATCTCTGCTTTATATTATCCCAGCTTGATGTTCACCTTTTGTTGTTGAATATACATCACAGCATCGTGAACAGTGACAAAAATATGCTGAGGGTTCATGTGGCTCATCAGACCGCTTGATGTCAAGATCTTTAAGACACTTTCTAAAAGAAGGAACATCATTCATGACAGCTTACATTTAAACTAGAGAAATTGCAATTTGCATTTGTATCAAAAATACAGTGTGAATCATGAAAAACAGCTGAAATTAGCTTAAAACATGAAATTGAATAACAAGCTTAAGTTAGCAGAAGAAAATAGAACACATATTTGCTGAATTTGGTTTAAATAAGAAGAAATAGAGCACAAAAAAATGTAAATTTGCTAAAAAAAAAAGCTGAAATTAGCTAAAAGTAGATGAAGTTTAGCTGAAAAGACAGAAAGAAACCTAAATTAACAGAAGGAAGTGGAGAGAGCACAATTGTCCCCAGTTAGGCTTAAAAAAGCAGAAATGAGCACAAAAAAGTGGAAATTATCTGAAAAGGCAGAATTTCACCAAAAAACTGCTGAACAGTAGCTAAAAGAGCAAAAAGAAGCTTAAATTAGCAGAAGGAACTGGAGAGTGCACAATTGTGTCCAATTATGCTAAAAGAAGCAGAAGAGAGCATAAAAGGAGGAATTTTTCATGAAAAAAGCAGAACTTAGCAAAAAAACAGCTGAAGCTAAAATAACAGAAAGAAGCTTAAATTATCAGAAGAAAGTGGAGAGAGAACAATTGAGCCCAATGAAGCTTAAAGAAGCAGAAATAAGCACAAAATGTGGAAATTATTTGAAAAAGACAGAAATTAGAAAAAAAATCAGCTGAAAAGTAGCTAAAATAGCAGAAAGAAGCTTAAATTAGCAAAAGGAAGTGGTTTAATGAAAAAAAAAAAAACTGAGTTAAATAACTCTATACCATTGCAGTTGGCCAAATACACATGAACACCTATTTTCTGGCACTCGGTGCACATCTACAAAAAAGCCAAAAAGAAGTCACATTTTATAGAACGTGTCTTTACTGGGTAACGTAATCTTGTTTTTGTTTGATGGCTGACCTGTGTGAAGAGTCTTGCTCCGGCTACATCAACAAATATCACTCTGCTGCAATCAATCAGCACGGCCTGGACGTCACCCTCTGAAGTTTCTGCACAGAAACGCAACTGTAGCTCACTCTAATATCTACAACGGTGTGAGTAAAGGGGTTTCTGCCTTTTTTTAAATAAGCTTACCTGATTTAAATAACTCGTTTTCTGAGGAAAATGATGTGTTTGTGATGCCTCCCTCCTAGGTAAAGTATAGAATTAAATAGTTATTTATAGTGACTAAGAATCTGAAATAAATTTACACCAGTTGGGCGTACCACAGTGCTGACGGTGGTTTCTCTCTCCCGGTTCTCCACAGCCTTCCTGGCCTTTTCTCTGCTGCGGATCTTCTCCGGCGTCAGGCCCAACAACTTGCTCATTTTCTCCCTGAAGAAGCAACGGTTGCCGTAGTAAATGGGCCCGTTGTAAGTCAGGATCTTCACTCCTGGCACTTCATAGCACTGAGGAGGACACAGCATGGCCTCGTCTTTAATTGTTCCTGAAACTCTTTGCAAATCATCTCTCTGATTACACAGAGTTGGAATGAATAACTGCTCTTTTTTTACTTTCATGTACTTTTTCTGTTTGTAAAAGTCAAGTTATGGTAAATGAGCCAAAGACATATTATTTATTTGCACCAACTGAAAAGATTATTGGCTATTGATGACTTTGCTCACCTTGTTGTGATTTGCCACAGGTCTGTATAGCTCAGTGTTGCTTGCTCGTCCAAGTACTGAGCATTCAGCCCTGTGGAATCAATAATCAGCTTTTTTATTACCATACCATACCATTTTATTTATAGAGCACTTAAAACAGCGACAAGGCCAACTAAAGTGCTGTACAGACAGAACAACAGGTAACACACAAAGCAAAATACAAAATGAAGTAAATCAGAATACAGACATAAAAACGATGCAGATAATGACGACAAACCAGTGTGAAGCGTACAGGTTCAAAACACAGATCATCTGGTGTTGAATGCTACTGAATAGTAGTGGGTTTTTAAACGGGACTTGAAAACCGAGAGGGAGGGGGCCCGTCTGACAAGCAGAGGTAACTCATTCCAGAGTCTTGGTCCTGCTACAGAGAAGGCCCTGTCACCTCTGCGCTTAAAACGAGTTCCTGGAACCGTGAGGAGCAACTGGTCCGCTGACCTCAGGGAACGTGGTGGGACATACGGTTGTAGCAGATCAGAGAGATCTGATATTATTGATCAGTTTTACACAGGTGACCCACTCAGCCTGAGTCCTACAGTTTTTAGTGCCTATATGAAGTTTATTTACAGATCGTTTCAGGTGCTTGTGTGTGAGTTTGACATTACAGATAAAACAATGTCTCCCACAATGAAAACTTTACCCAGAGCTACTGCTCCTAGTCTGAAGCCCAGTTTTTGTTGAGAAGGAATAGAAAATGTACCTTTGTGTGCGACAGATTACAGTCATCATGGAGAATCCCACTCCGATAGCCAGGCCTAAGTCCACATTGAGTACCACCACAGAGAGCCAGGTTACAACCCAGACCATCTGCACAAAGACACAGTAACATCTCTTGACTGAACAAATTACATTTCAGCATTTCAGCATCAGCCATAATTAAAAATGCAAAAGTGACTTGATTAATGCACATTTTCTGGAACAAGTTTTAGTTCAAATATCCATGCAACTTTACGGTTGCAGTTCACTAAAATCTTTCTTTTCTCATCATTGGTTTTGTTGCCATTAATTGGCCTTACAAAGTCCAGCTTGCTGATCCTCCACAGCTCAGGTAAGTCTTGGAACTGCAGAAACATTTGCCTGAGGCTGGTAACATTGATGCATGCTAGAACCGCCTGAAAACAGAAAAAGTAAATGATATGAGAGGAAATATTCCCACTCCTTCTCTTGCACAGACACATTTGCGAAGTGGATCAACCTTGGGTAGGAAATAAAACAGTGGTCCAATCAGCAGCAGGACAATCAGAACAACCAGACTGGTGAAGAGGCCAGAGAGCTGCAAGAGGACATACAAACACATTCACAATGTCAATAAAGCAAGTTTTTATCAAAGTTAGCTGTTAAATTAGCAATAAATAATAACTTGGATCAGCTGAAGTGGGGTTCCGTGCATAGCTTAGGAACAATTATTATATTTCCTGTTGTTAACAACCTTCAGGTTGGAGAAATGGTCTCATTTTGACTGGATTGATGAGATTATGTCCAGTGGGAGCTCAGCCCAGACAAAAGTTGATTTCTGTGTCAGATAATAATATAACTTTCAAAACCTTTATTGATGGTGTTGACATTGATGTAAATGCAATTTCATAAACCTTTACACCACCTGGAGGTGTAAATTGCATGGTTATATTGCAC